GAAATAATACTAATGCACTCAATGCTTATATATATAAAACTTGGTAACAGCATACCTACATGTATGGGTAGGTGATCACATCCTGGTAGGTCTGATTTAGACACCCAGAATAACAGTCTTTTGGTTGATTACTGTTGTCTTGACATCACCTTAGTTCAGGCAAGCATAATCTACTGTGGGTCTGATGGGAGCTCCCTCGATGTCCCCAGGGCCCTACTCCTGACGACAGCTGGTCCCATGCTTGGCCTCCCGTAATACATAACAACCTCCTCCCCACGACATCCCATTCTGCCCTTCAGACAGGGCTGGTGGGTCTACTTCTCTGGTTGCTTACTCCCTCAGGGCCCCCCGCAAGAAGGTCCACTACAAGAGGAGAAGGCTATGCCCACTCGCCAACTCCCAGCCCCAGATGCTTCCCCTTTAATCAGAGCTAGGGCTCACCTCCAGGCTGTGCTCGCTTCCCTCACTCATGCGACAGGTGGCTCGGCTCCTGCAGCCTCCCACACTCGCCGCTCTGGCCCCCCAGTGAGATCCCTGCAGTCTCCTCATGGCGATTTGTCCTTCCCTCAACTCCCCAACTATCCCCAATGGCCCACCTTCTGCACCAGACCCTGGTGGCCAGCCCATCCTGGCTGCAGAACTCTAGGGCTCTGGAAGGACCCTGTTTCCAAGCCCGGGGGGGCAGAATTGCTCCAGTCCTTTTGTTCTGGTGTCCTCAGGGGGACAAAAAAATCTCCCAGGCCCAGCCTGGTTTTGGCTCACCATGGGACACTCACTATGGGTGAGTATCCCTTCTGTTACAGTCTGTTACACTTAGTTTCTGGTAGCTAGAGAAATCAGTCACTGGTAATACCTAATGAACTTTTCTTCTCTCTGTCAGTAAACTCAATGTGTGTGTGTGTGTGTGTGTGTGTGTGTGTGTGTGTAATATGTAATAATGTAGTATTACGACAGAGGGGGCACATCTACCATACAGCAAGCTACAGTGACACAGCAATCATGTGGGACTACACGTGATCGCCAGCTACATTACCATAGTGGTGAAATCTAACTGTGGGCCGCAGGCATGGTGCAGTAAACACCCATACTACACCACGCTTTAGTACTTCCAAGAGTAGTAAAGCACAACATCATAGCAATGTTGCCCTACGGCAACGTGTAGACGCACCCAAGGTGTAATGCAGAGTGACATCTTGGAGACTAACTTGTTTGGAGAGGCACAAGCTTTCATAATCAACATCCTACCTTAATAGTATCTGATGAAGTAGGTCATTGCCTACAAAAACTCATGCCTTTGAACCGGTTAGTATGTAAGGTACACTCTACCCTACCATTTGCCGGACTGCAGACTAACATGGTTAACCATCTGTCTGCTCATACAGTGTGAAGTGACTGACAAAGCCAATAAGACCATTTAAAAATTCTGGGGCAGGTTCTTAGTTGGAGCAAGTTATTGTGTTTCCTTTGTAGTTAGTGGAGCTGTGTTAGGTTTACAGCCACTGCAGGGCATAACATGTAGCCCACAATTTTTACAAAGGCCTCGATGCCTCCTGCTGGGGCCTAATTTTTTCAACACCAAACATAATTATTCAATACATCCTACTGAGACCAATGAGTCCTGCTGTGTGCTTTTGAATATCTGGTTGTTTTATTCAGGTTTCTAAACAGAACTGAGGGTTGCTGGTCCGTTGTTCTTTATTTTATCTGATCTCCTTCATGCTGAGCAAGTTTGAAAATGTGGGCCATGTCTTTTCTATTTAATTTTTTTTTTAAGTTTTGCCCCATGAAGTGATGCAGTACTTAAGGAGTCCGTAGAGAGCCTGTCAGCTAAAACCTGAGAATATTGGATAGTTTCTTATCTGTCTTGCCTGCGTGATGTTAATTTAAACTAGTATCCCACTGCATTTTTAATGTACGGTTTTCTATCCCTGAAAATAACATTAAGCATAGCTTTAAATATTGATCTGAAGTTTTAAGGCACTAAAAGTTATTTTCTTACAATCTAACATAAAATATTCAGATCTGTAAAGTTAGGTGGATTCTATTCTTTCATTTGGTTGGCAGAAAAATAATCAAATATCTTTTGAAAGACTTTTTATAAAGTATAATTTCTTATCAAGTGTATTTTTTGCATACTATAAGATTGGCTTTTGTGAGGTTTTTTTCCACCACGAGTCTCAATGTTTTGATGTAGAAGGTGTTAAGATTCATTATTATTTTTGCTTCTATGGTCTTGAATTAAAGTTTCATTTTAATTTTTAAAAAGCCTTCATTAGCATTTGAAAAGAAAGTTAGAAAAGCCCCCTTGTAGTCATGCTGAACAAGATATTCTAACTTCCAGCTTCTTTCGGGGAGAAACACTAAACAGTGAGTAGTGCATCTGACTTTTGAAATTTATTTGAAGTAAAAGTTTAATTTTCATGTCATACTCCCTGTCACTATCTGTCTGTAGGGGTGTACCAATAGAGATTTTGGGGGCCAATACCCATAGCCAAGGAGGCATGTCGGCCAATACCGATCCAATTTCCGATACAGCTGCATCCAGCTAGTAAGTCTGTGGGGGTGAAAGGGGGGGGGGGAGGGAAGTGGTGGGGGGGGGCAGATCAACGACCCCTGCAGTGAGGGAGGAAGTGGGGCAGGGGCTGGTGTAGGCACTGCCCTGCCAGGGAGGGTTGGGCACGGAACGGACCCACAGCTTGTCGGGAGTGGGGGAGCAGCTCCCGCCACTGCATGCCACTCATCTGGCGGCTCCCGCCGCTGCTTCCACCGCTTGTCCGGGAGGGCACCGGGGGGGAGGGAGAGCGTGTGCCCCCGGATCTGCGTGGGGCAGGCTGGGAGGGCTGCAACCCCTGACCCACTCCTTCCCTCACTGCGGGAAGTGTTGATCTGCCTCCCCATCCCCCTTCCCTCCCCTTCCATCACAACAAATTTACCAGCTGCACACAGCTCTCCATGCTGCCGGGCTGTGCTCCTTGCTGCCTGTGTGCTGCACTGCAGCTGCACACACGCACAGGTATTTATTGGCCAAATTATTGGCCACTTCAGGCTGATTTCTGATATAGTCACTTCTTTAAATCAGTGCCGATCCGATATTGTACAAATGTATTGGTGCACCTCTATCTGTCTGTTGATCACCTGCATTTTATTAACCTGCATTTGGTGGAACAGGTATCTGGTCTGTTTTCCAAGACTGTTCACCTTTAGAGAATCTCCCAGGGGCCTATGGCATCCATTCAGGGCCTTGTGGCATTTCACTGTGATCGAAAATCACTGCCCCCGACCCACATCCTTTTACTAAGGTTCTGGAGTATAGAGGACAATCAGTAACGGTCACAAACATCAAACAGGAGTTTTGGGAGATGTCTAATAAGGTCAAAAAACAAGATATTCTGTGTCCCTGTTTGTCATGTTCATATTGTCCTGGGCTGCACCCAGATTCTTTTATAAAATTTAGGAATGTATGGTTTGGTGCAGGCTTCCTGTGCTGTAGAGTGATGGGAAGAGCCAGGCAACCCTGCTTAGTGATTGAGTAAGGGAGGTGTTATTTTATATTTTTAATGTTGTTATTTTCTGTACTTAAAAAAAAAAAAAAAAACAACAACAAACCCAAACCTCACTCATTCCTCACCTAAATCACTTAAAATATAATCATGTTAATTTAAAGGTAAAAAGGGAGTTGAAACTGTCTGTCTTTCTTTATGGTGTGGTTTATTTTATTTTATTTTTTAGCTAAACTTAAAGACTTAGATTTTTTTTTTTTATTTCTATGAATCTTGGAAAGGCTAAAATATTAAAAATTTGTTCTAAACAGGTACTAATAATTAAGCAAGAAATTTTAATTTTAGGAGCAAAGGACTGGCTATTTCCATGTTTGTCTTGATCGTCAAATGGAAATTTGTGACAAGTCAGTTTTATCCTAGGGACTATATAGGATCAGTACTGGTGGTCTCTAGCTCCAAGTGTTGATATTGAAACTGTTTAATAAATACAAGCAAGTGACACCCACTGTAGGGGGAAAGAGCTTACATTTTGGGGTTTTTTCACTGTTTAGTATTTCTGATCTCTAAATAAAGTGGTTTTGATACTCATTGCAGTGCTTCTTATTAAAAACTTGTGTGTTTAAGTATAAGAAATGGATTGTGTCCCTATGCCATTATTTAGTAGGCCTCTGCAAAGCAACTAGTATGTGCTTCGGATTTGGCCAATTCAGGCGACAGTGATTCGATTCGTGATTCAGATCACTGTCCTGAATCAATTTGGCCGAATCTGATTCAGAGATTCAGCTACCGCCGAATCGGCCCCATCCCCTGCTCACTCTCAATGGCTGTCCTGCCTGCCCCAGCTCCTAAGAAAAGAAAAGCCCATATTCACCCAATGCTGCCAGGTGCGGGGGGAGGAGGGGGTCGATCCCTGCTGTCCCCTGTTGCCCCATGCCGCATGGGGGGGGATCTGCTACGAGCCCCCCTGGCCTCCACCCGCTCTCCCAGCTTCCCCCATAGCTGCTCTGCCCACCCCAGCTGGCCCTATTATTTACCTGTTGACTTTATATTGCTGTTTTTGTTGTAGGTGTTGTAAGATAACAAAATATAAGCTGTCCTATGTTGTTTGATATGCTTTGTGGTATTTGGATTGTTGATTATTTATTCAGTTCTTCAACACTTGTGTCCTGAAATCAAAAAGTTGCTGGTATACAACAACTGGATCTCAATCCTGTATTAATCTACACATGTACATTATCCTAGTGGGACTATGCATGCGTATATATGACTTAATCCAAAATCAAAATTATGTCATTCAGCTTTAGGTCAGGCCTATGTTCATACCACAATAAAATATTTGCTTGAGCAGAGCCATAGATCAGATTGTGTGATTTTGATTTTTGGTCTCATATAGTTAGCGTGGCAGGTATTTGATGATAGAAGTCGTTACATGATCTACGCAATACTAGAATTACACATTTTGTTAAATTAACTATCTTTTTCTTTCTAATCACTTTTCAGGTCTCTTAACTAATCCATCTTTTCAGTGATGAGACAACGCTGGGAGGTATGGATAAAAATATTGGAGAGCAGCTTAATAAAGCTTATGAAGCCTTTCGACAGGCATGCATGGATAGAGACTACGCTGTGAAAGAAATGCAGCAAAAAGTACGTGTTAGATTTTTGTCTTTCTTTTTGTCTCCTGTGGATAATTATAGTACACACAGACTTAAATTTAATTTTAGGGACCATTTTCAGTGCATCTTGCTACAGCTAGAAATGGCACTTAATAAACCAAACTACTAAATTAAGCAATAACACATTAAGCTGTGAAAAAGAAAGCTGTGTATGTATTGTCTGGCATATCTTTATCTTTTCTTTATGGTTTTGGGAGTGGAAAAGGTATTGTCTGCTGAGGAAGATGAACAAGGTCTCTTTTTAAATATAGCTATATCTCTGCTATCTGCAAAGTATCCAGTGTTAATTAAATATATTTAAAAATATAATTTGTCTTAGTTTTTCAATGAATTAGTAAGTTTGACTGTTTCAGATAGTTATCTTCCTATTAAATAAACAATTGTGTAAATATGCCATGTAAATAATAATAATTGTTGCTGTTGTTGTAATAATGAGAGGTAGCAGCAGTAGTTATATCAGAGTAATGCCTAAAAAGTAATGCTAGACACTCTGCAAGGCTATAGGAAGACAGAGTTGCTGTCCAGAAGCATTTACAAAAATCTGAAAACAGCTTGCATTTTAGGCTTTGCTTTCAAAAACAAGTCAACTCTATGCTTAGGAACTAAGGGTGCACCAATATCTCAGATTGGCTACTGGATAAGCACTGAGAAAAGGAGAAATTATGTTATCAGCCATTGGCTTTTTTGGTTGTTGTAGCTGATAATTACAGCCATGTGCCTGGAGCCCCCTAGTGAACATAGTCCGGTCCTCGTGCCCTGCCGCTGGCCTGAACCCACGGCAGCCTACAGGTCTTGGAGAGCAGTGGGAGGGGGAAGGGGCACCTGGGAGCAGTCACAAAGGGACTGTT